TGTATGTACGGAACAAGACGCCCAGATCTTGTTTTGGGTATGCTGAATCTCCTACCTTTGCTTACTCCTTTTGCTTATATTTAGAAGTTGCCACCTATACGTGTTACGTTTGAGTTCATTTTAGTTCATTTTTGAATAACATTTCTTTAAGAAGGAATATGGGAAACATTGAATAGATTAAGGCTTATCTTTTTAGACTGGATGTAGTTCCTGTTAGTCATCACAGTATGCTGATAATAATGGTGCAGCTGCGTGTTTTATATGGAAGCCATGACTCAGGGTTATGCTTCAGGAAAAGGACACGGGCAGCTGCACAGATAGAAAACAGACGATATCGCAAAGGAATAAACTGCCCAGATTGCTTCCTCACTACACTGACCATTAGATGTGAAGAATCCTGCCAAGTGTTTGTGTGTGTTTTTTTTTTTTTTTTCAAAATCCAGTGACGTCAGTGGAAATATTTTTCCTCTTCTGTCGCCCTCTGCAGGTGGGAGTATGGAAGTGCAGAAAAGTCACATCCGATCATACAGTACACAAACCAGATATCATACAGCCGCAATGCAGTTACAGTCACTTGTATGTTCTTAAATATTGCATTTAAATCAATAAATTAATATATTTTTTTATGTCTGCAAGTATTCAGACCAATAACAATGTAAAACACATTTTTTTGCGCCTCTTTTGTTCAGTTGGGAATCTTGGCATAAGCGAAGAACTCCAGGCCAAACTGCAGGACGTCATGATCCAAAGGAGCTTGCTCTCAATAGGAAAAGTTCTTGGAGAAGGTGAGGGAAACGTTTCAGGGATGTGCAGGGCCACCAGAAAGTATTCACACCGCTTCAGTTGTTTCACGTTTTACGACGTCACTGTTTTTGTTTCTTTTTATAATATAACTACACAAAGTAACTTAAAAGGGGCAAAACAGAAACATGTTCTCTGACAGTTCTGTGAATTTATGAACATTAAAACAGTTAAACATGGAAGTAAGACAATCTTTGCTGACACATATAATAGAGCTCAGGTGCATCTAGTTTCCAGAGGATCTGCAGATAAAATAAGATAAGATAAGATGTCTGTAATAGAAAAATGTGTAGCAAAACCTAAGGGTGTGAATACTTCCTGGTGACCCTTTAATTAAAAATATTTAATATCACATTGCTTACACAGTACAGCCTTCATGAATGGGCTGTGTTGTTTTCCAGGTGAATTTGGCTCAGTTGTCGAGGGACGATTAAGAAGCTTAGATGGGACGTCTGTAAAAGTCGCTGTGAAGACAATGAAATGTAAACCTTATGATTATATAAAGACTTAAACATTTATTGTCTTTAAAAATGAGGATAGATAAGTATTTAATTAACTCTTCTTTTCAAACAGTGGACAACTTCTCTCACAGGGAAATTGAAGCGTTCCTGAATGAGGCGGCTTGCATGAAAGATTTCAACCATCCTAACGTCATTCGCCTGCTCGGTATGAGAACTGAATTATGTGGAATCTCACTGCTCTCTTTGCCTTTATCTGTTCTTATTTGGACATTTTCTGTGTCGACTTGTCCTTCTAAGGCGTGTCCTTGGAAGTTGGCTCTGAAAATTTTCCCAAACCGATGGTCATCCTCCCATTTATGAAATATGGAGATCTTCATAGCTTTCTGTTGCGCTCACGTCTGAAAGAGAGCCCCAGGGTAAGATTTCAGCCAACATTTAATACATGCAAATTATGGTGAGGACTACATTTTAAATTTCTACACCGTTGTCTATCGTTTTATCTTTTTGTGCACAGTTCTTACCAACTCAGACTCTCCTGAGGTTCATGGTTGACATTGCTTTGGGTATGGAGTATCTCAGCGGTCGTAATTTTCTGCATCGAGATCTGGCGGCACGTAACTGCATGTAGGTTTCTTTCTGTGAAATTTACTTTCATAGAAAAATCTTCGTGACTCAAGAGGTTTATTTGACTTAATTTTTTACTTGTCTCACAGGCTGCGTGATGACCTGTCGGTGTGTGTCGCTGACTTTGGCTTATCGAAGAAGATCTACAGCGGAGATTACTACAGGCAGGGCAGGATAGCCAAAATGCCTGTGAAGTGGATTGCAGTGGAAAGTCTGGCAGACAGAGTTTTTACTGTAAAGAGTGATGTTGTAAGTGTAATGTGGATCTTTTCCTGTAACAGTGGTCCCTCAAAATCACCAGATAGCAACTAAATGGAGAACTAACTCAATGTGGAAATGTGGTTTTGCTTCCAAGTTCCTTTTGAAGGAAAGGCTGAATAGTCAGTTGTCTTACGTCTTTATGTCAGGGTGAAAGAACTGCTGTCATGATTTTTTTATTTTAGCATTTCGTCAAATTTAAGAAAAGCCCCAAAGGGGGAAAAAACAAAACAAAACAAAACAAAAAAAAAAACTAGAAGATTTAGACAAAAGAACAGCTGCTTTTGTCAATTATAATCGGACCTAGCGCAAAGAAAGTAACCTGGGGGCCAATTTCTATAAAGCCTTGAGATGAATTCATCCCTCCAACTCAGGAGATGATATACAATATTTGAATGAGACAAGATGAGATCTTAGAGATATGTTTGGAAATCATAACACTCTAGTTTCAGAGAGAACAAAATATGTTTAGAAGACTTATCAACGTGGAACTAAGGTCTGCCAGTCCAATTATCAAGTGCCACTCCCTGCAACTGTGCTGCAACAGATCTGAATCAAAAAGCGTCAGCATGTTTTACAGTCTATGCATAGTGCTGTTTTTATGCTCGTCAGATCATAATGTGGCACCAGTTAGCAAAAATAATGTTTTGCTTTTTAAAATGTGTGCAGTGGGCATTTGGTGTTACCATGTGGGAAATTGCTACGCGAGGCATGACGCCGTACCCGGGAGTCCAGAACCACGAGATTTATGACTATCTTGTTGAAGGCCACAGACTGAAGCAGCCGCCTGACTGTTTGGACGAACTGTGAGTGTTTCAGTAGGATGCTCCACAAGTTTTCATTTATTTCATTTAAACGGAACAATAAATGTTATTGTGTTTTTCAGTTACCTGCTCAAAAACAAATTAAATGTGCAGGGCCTATTTGTGTGTTAGAATAGCTACGACTTCAGTTTTCCGGTCTATTTTAGATATCTTTACTGTCATAATTCCCACTGACTAACGATATTATTAAAGAATTTTTTTAGAGGATCCAGGCCAGCAAACACATTTTATGTAAGAAAAGACAATATTAACATTTTATTTAGATTGTTTTCAGTTGTGCTTGTGGTTCACTAAAACAGGAATTTGATAGTGTGTCCCTTTTTTTCTCTTTTACTCCTATCTAGGTATGAGATAATGTACAGCTGCTGGAGAGCCGATCCGGTGGACAGGCCGCTGTTTCCTCAACTCCGGGAAATGTTGGAAAAGCTTGCAGAGAAACTTCCTGAGAGTTCTAGCAGGGAAGATATTATTTATATTAACACCAGCTTTCCTGAAGAGGACCCCGACTGGGAGGAAATGATCACAGCAGAGCTGGAGTTAAACCCCTCCCCTTCCTGCAGCCATGAGGCAGCAGAAAACACAGTAGTTACAGCAGACATTCATGGGCAGCAGAGGGATGATGATGACGATGATAGAAGTGGTCGTTACGTAGTGGTGGTCCCCGCTAACAACTCCCTGAGCTCTCCCACGGTGGACACGCCGCTTTTGTCGACGGATACTTTGAGTCGAGCAAATCGGGCAGCAGATGCGATGGAGCACAGTTCAGATGACACTTCATGCCTGTTAAAATGATTTGGAGCCTAAAATTCATCCGGCTGTAAAAAAAAAAACATCTCACCAAGGTTCACCAGCACTAACGGTTCTTCCTGTTTGCATCTCAAGACCCTTCCTCGTTCTTTAAATGAGCAGTGTTAGCTTCACATGGTCAGGTTATTATATTTATGTCAACTCCAAACATGTTTCAGAACATATTCAGTAAGCTTCCCTGAGCTGTGAAACTCTTTGGAGTTTTGAGAAGTGTGTTTCAATGTAAATATGGTAATGTACAAAATGTCTATAAAACAATCCTACGTTGTAAAAATAAATGTTGATGTTCATTTGAAACTAAATGATTTAGTTTATCAATGTGATGTTTAACGGAGATGATACATAATCTCATGAATTATTTACTTTAAATAAAAGGATAGACAGGTATATGTTTTATGTTTTTTAAAAATCCCACATTTTGCTTTTTTAATTTGCTGCATGTGAATTTTATAGTAAAGAAAGTAAAAGGACCCTAAAATGTGGAAATATAACATTAAGGATTCTTTTCTACACTATACACCACTAAAGTAGCAACAGTTTTCTTTATGTCTACACGTAACGCTAATTTTTTTCTGCATTGTGGTATAAAGCTGTAACATACTCTTTCATTTTGCTATGGCGATTTCTTTGCAGAAGATGAATCAAAATAATTTATCTCCAACCATCTGAGTCCAAAAATGCAGCAATATAATTCATTTAGACTAGGGACACTGAAAACATTTGTTGAATAGTAGATTTGTAAAAATCAGCATTATTGCTCTTTATTTCTCTCAAAATGCATGATTACTTATCAAGTAAGTTCTCCTGATTATGTTCTCATCTGCAGGACATGGCAAACATTGAATTTAAGCATCCATAACTTATTAAAAACTGAAGAAATTAGTATGTAAATAGTTGCAGACATAAATCACTACATGTTTTGAAATGACATGTACATTTTTGTCCAGGTAAAACCTTAAAAAGCAGAAGGATAACAATTTAAGCTTTTTATTAAAAAAAATGTAAAGATCTTTAAGGCGCTTCTAAATATGTAAACAATATGTTAAATCACTGAGGACAGTAATCGTTCATGGTGATTCTTTAACTTATTCATGTTTTTCAAAATAACATGGCAGTGAATCAAAAGAAAGTATTTATGCAAGTACATTCTAAATGTAACATAAAATAGTTTTTGATATTTTTTCCTACTGTCATAAACATCTATTTGACTTGCTGTTGATGTCAGGTCACTCATCTCATTTGCGTGCTGCGCTCAGGGCGCCTCCTAGAGGTCAGTATCGGAAAAGCCATGAGCAAACATGGCAACTGCTGTCAGGATGAGGACGTGGAGCTGCCCGACCCTGGGAGTCATTTATCCGTGGATGGTGTTTTTTACAGTTTTACTCGGGACTGTAAATGAAACAGTCGGTTCACCAGAAACAGGGCTATGGAAAATTGCGGTTGTTAATGTAAGTATTAGCCGGAGACAGTAGATAACTGCAGCACCTCAAGCTAACGCTAGCTGCATCAGGCTATAGATTTTAACTTGTAATGAGCTTAGTGCGTGCTGGTGATAGAAGCCATTCATTTTGAGTGTCGATTTAACTTTATGCTATTATGAGTTGCTCTTTTTTGCTTTACTAATAAACATGTAAATAAAAGGCACACGGTTTCCAGTTTTCTAGCATTTAGCCTAAATGCTAAGAAACAATCTATGGGTAGCTGAGAGCTAACTAGCTCCAGTTAGCTCTACCTGAACATAACTTGTTTAACCATTTATTGTCATGAACCCTAAAGTTATTCATTCCCCCTTTTTTCCACGTATCTATAATTGTTTGGGTTATAATATAACATTATGGCTTTTTTTCTCTAAAAACTCTTCTAACATTTAAAGCTGATCCTTATCTTATGTCTTACCACAATTCCTGGAGTTTGCCCTTGGAAAACATCTTGATCAATAATTCAAGTAGAGATCTGAGAAGATCCAGTTTCTTCTACTTTAATTGCAATATTAATTGAGCTCTAAGTCTAGACTAGGTGAACCATATGGACTACTGTGAAGTTTGCTGTTTACTTCCTGATCATCTCTTGTACTCTGCAGCAAAGAGGGAACTACAGTTTGTTTTAAATTTAAATTAGCTTCACTTTCAGTCCTAATTTAATCTCTGCCTCACTGCCTTCTAGTGTTTTTGCTCACATGCTTTATTTGCTTTCGTGCAGGGCTCAGAACCGATCATATTAAAGAAAGCCATGTTTAAAGAGACAGATGTTGTACTTAAAGGTAAGATCTGATATTGCACACACTGACATTGTTCTTTTTACTATGCATGTCACAACAAGCAATAAATCAATTTATCACTTGATAAACCAAAAATTACAGAAATCATTTCCATTTCCATGCTTGTTTGTGTCGTACACTTTGTCTTTAAAATTACGCTGTCCTGTAATATTTTATTTTGTCATGACTTCATAATCCCTTTTATTCATTGTTTTGGTTGTTTTATTATGTAAATGGAACATTTAAAATGTCTTCCAGTTCCAGTGCTAAATGTTCTTTGGAAATTAAAGCTTGAGAGTGTACTTGCATTATTATGCATTTATCATTGTATTAATTGAAAATTGTTTCAAAACAAGAATATTATCTCAACAATTCCTCTTACAGCAAAAATTTTATTGTGACCAGCTTGTAGTTTTAAACTGTGTCTATTTGCAAGAGTGAAATTTGGTGCTTCTTCTAGTTTCCACACCATGATGGTCTGAAAAATGTCCAAACAGCTGAATTTCTTTTCATCATAACCTTAAACTACAACATTGCCATTTTTATGTCCTCCATTAAAAAGTATCTTCATTTCTCAGTTGTGTCTTTTAGTTGTCCCAAGCAGGTGAAATTCACAATCCACTGGCTTTTAAAATACCACCCCTGCTATAATGAATACAATAATATTGAAGTAAGTACAGTTCTTCCAAGCCATCAGTTTCACTAATTATTATTATTATTTTTTATTTATATCTTTATGACTAAATGTTTGGTTGTGATTCTAGGAGATGTACAAACGGACGCCGCTGAGCCGAGGGGAGAACCTGGACCCGAAGCCCAACGCAGCGGGCGAGTACATAGAACACAAACACAGTGCAATTACGTGTAGCAGCGACCTGCACGTCTTTCCTGGGCTCCGCGTAGGTTTGCTACGTTGGTTCTTCAGCATTAATTATCGACACATTTAACAGCTTGACATTTCTCATCACCCAGCATCTTTTCTCTGTTTCTCAGAAAGCCAAGGCAGAACCACGGTCTGTTATTCCAGCAGACGGGAGTGAAGGACCAGTAAGAAAACTTCAATATTTTTCACTCCTTACTTTATATAAAGACATCAAAACTAAAGGTTTTGGATTAAGAATCCCTACACAGTCTAAAAAACTGCAGTGTTTCATTTAATATTATTCCAAATCTGGATCTGGGTGGGAAAATGGTTTTCCAGACTGTCTTAATATGTTCATTCACTGCAGAAAAACAAAATCTTACCAAGGATATTTAGCTAGTTTCTAATGCAAACATCTCAGTTCAATGTAAATAAGGCAAAAGTAACTTACAACTAACTTTCCTGCAAGATATATGAGGTTTTAAGTCAATAATTCTTTAATATTGACAATTGGTATTATTTTGCTTATAACAAAACATTTTTGCCATGTTATAAGAAGAAAATAAATTGCCAGTGGAAATAATTTTTTTTATCAATATGAAGGGATTATTTGTTCAAATTTGCTTGTAAGTTAGTGTTGTCTTACGTCAATTGTACAAAGATATTTACACTAGAAACTGAGCACAAATCTGTAATAACAGATTTTGCGTTTTTTTTGCAGTGTTTGTATGTCCATCTGTCTGTCCATGGCTTTTGCATGTTCTGCTTTTCAAGAAGAAATGTCAGCAGTGAATTTCACAATGGACATTTGAATTTATTATAAGTCAGAGAATGTACAGAAAAATGTTCAGGAACCCTGTAGATTATAATCAGTCCTAACAAATCTGAACAGTTAAGTTCATCATCTGGGCTGCTTTTGGTTCCTTGCAGTTAAATCTGTCCAAAGATTTATCGCTTCTGCATTACTTCTGAAACTCTGCAGGGAAAAAGTGACCCTAACTGGATTTCAGATGAGTACAACGCTGACGGCGCCAAAGAGAACGTCATAGCCACCACATGGAGGAATGGGCCTTACCTGCTGGTGGTTAAGGTCATTCCTGATATAAACGAGGCTAGCTGGAATTTAACAGGTGAGATGTTTCACCCTAAAAGGCAGGTTTGGAATTCAGCCGTGGCTCCATATGTTCCTTAATGTCAGATTTCTACGGAGTTTGGAGTTTATGTGATGCTTGGATGTTTTTCTTCCCAGTTAATGTGGTGATGAGAGGGAAACACGGCTACATTTCTATCACAGAGTGGCCGCTCATGATCGTAAGTACAAAACTCTAGGAGTCAGTTTTGCATCTTGTGCCACAGACACATTTTCATGTTCATTTTAAGATTATTTTTCATTCCCATTTGATGTATTGCTGCAGACGTTAAGTCTGTCTCTTTGTAACTACATTTGAATCTGTCAATTGAACAGTAGATCTCTGAGTTTTTGGATGTTAGAGTGAGATGCAGCTTATAGATCTAAACCTAACTCTGTACTCTGAAGGGGAAAAAATGCAAGGAAAGCATCGTCTCAAGACATTAGTGGAGAATGTCTTGAGAAATTTCCAATAAATGGAGAAAAACTGCTTCCATATGTGATGTGATTGTCGACTAACGTCTTTCCGTTTGCAGTTCTATATGGTGATGTGCGGTGTGTACATCCTGTACGCCTTGCTGTGGTTCGTCTGGGCAGCTTGCTACTGGAAGGATCTGCTGAGGATCCAGTTCTGGATAGCTGGAGTCATTTTCCTCGGCATGGTGGAGAAGGCGCTCTTCTGCGCCGAATATGAGAACACCAACGTCGTCGGCTCTGCCTGTGAGTGTCTCTAGATGACCACACAGTCAGCTAAATGTGTTTTTGTATATCCCCTTTCGTATACCCTGGTTAATTGTTTCAGGAAACAATAAAGGAACAGAAATAAAGCATATTAACAATACTGCACACATTACAAAAAAATGCAAAATACACATTTAGAACCATGAAGCAAATCTTGAAATGTCGATTTCTGTTTTTTTTTTTTTTTTCTTTTCTTTTCTTTTTTTTCCTATTTCTGCAGCTCCTGGCTTGTTGATCTTTGCAGAATTGCTCTCCGCTCTCAAGAGGACTTTGGCACGACTTCTCGTCATCATCGTCAGTCTGGGATACGGCATCATAAAGTATCTCATGTTCTGTAACGCAGTCATAAGTTTTTTTGTTTGTTTTTTTAAATATTAAGCGTTTACCTTCATGTTTTTGTTGTGTTTCTTTCAGGCCGCGGCTCGGGACTGTGATGCACAGAGTCGTGGGACTCGGCATCCTCTACTTCGCATTTGCTAGCATTGAAGGTGTTTTGAGGATCACAGGGGTGAGTCGAGCTCTCGCCGTCTTTAATTGGGAAGAATTTTTACGAAACAAAA